CAGCCTTTCTGAAGACAGCCTGTTGTTAGGACTAGGTGTCGCTTTTAACGGCGTTCCTCCCTTGTCACTGTTCCTTGACTAGCGGTGACTAAAGAATCATTTCTCGATCACATGCAAGTGGAAGTCTCTCGTTCTCAAGTCCTGTTAGATATGTAAGGAGTCACCCGCCCACTGCCCTTTGTTTTGGCTTCTGTTTTCAGACTGCCATTTCTACCATTCATTTAATGGCTGGGGTGGCCCTGCTGCTTTGTGCTCAGATCACTAAAACAAAATACCATGGGCTAGGTGGTGTGAGCATCAGAAGCTTACCCTTTACAGTTCTGGGGATTTGAGACCCACGACTGAGGAGTGGGGTTCCTGTGAGGGTCATTTTGCTTGCTGCCTGCCCCCTTCTTACCTTGTCCTCACATGGGACAGAAAGATAAGAGCTCTCCTGTGCTTTGTGTCTCTTCATAATGTTAGACCCCTAGAAAGCTTAGACCTCCAGGATCTCAGCCCAGGACCTCGCTCACCCCAATCACCAGGCAGATTCGAAAGGTTGATGCAAACTGCATGAGGCTTTATTGTAATTTAACGAGTTAACCCCGTGTTAGCTCGGGTCTTTCACCCACAGCCATGGTGGATGGCTAGAAAAGACAGCTTGAACTGGCTGCATAGAGATCTTGTAGGGCAGCGTAAGGGGAGTGTCTAGGGGTACGCACAGGCTCAGGATTGGTGTGCCTCCAGGCTTGGAGGGCTTGCCCTGTGTTGATTGGTCAACTGGTTGTTATGGCCCATAGGCCCTCCCAGGGTGGTTGCTATGCTCTGCGCGTCATTGCTGTGCACTTGTCCGTAAAGCACACCCAGAGCCGTAAAGCATAGCACTACCAGCTAACTTCTGATTGGTTCCTTGCCACGAGGCAGGCATCTGACCTTAGTGACTAAGACAAGGTCAGACAAGCACATGTTCAGCTGTTATGGCTGCAAAAATGGGGAGCTGGTCCCTTCAATAAGGGCACAGGAATCATGAGGGATCAGCCTCATGATGTCACCGGTGTTAAAGGCTTTACTTCAGACATGAACTCTCTGGTCTGGAACAAGGGGAGCGTCTGTGCTTTGGTCGAATACACAGCTGAAATGACAGATCTAGAACAGTCACAGGGTGTGGATACTATCTTAGAATACATCAGTGTAATCCTGACATTTGATGTGTTGCCTGGGGCCTCACCTAGACTTTTGGGAACAGCAATCACACCTACAAAATTAAGTTCATCAGTTCTTACACACTCAGCGCACATAGTGCTCTCATCTCCTGATACTATAGGAGAGACAGAATAGTTACAGTAACAAAATGTAAACTCTGAGGGTCAGTACAAGAGATCGCCCAAGTGTAAGTGGACCCCTGTAAGAGATTGACCCAACTGTAAGGGCAGCATGGATCATTTGAAGACCCGTGTGATACCAGCTGCTTAGAGGGCGAATAATGGAGCTGCTTTACAAAAGAGAGATTGCACAAGGTGCTCACTGCAGAGCAGAGAAGTGTGGGACGGCACATTCTGCAGGCCCGAGTTGATGGGTGTGAGCAAACAGACCGAATATTGTCATGTTGTTTTCCATGAGAAGTTACACAGTAAAGTTCTGTTCCAGGGAGAAGTCATGTTCTGGGGGAAACTGGTGAGGGTAAAGTCAACTCCTGGAGAGCTCAGAGCTGTCTGTCCTGGCACTCACTCTGTAGACCAGGCTGGCCTCGAATTCACAGAGGTCCACCTGCCTCTGCCTCCCGAGTGCTGGGATTAAAGGTGTGTGCCACCAATGCCCAGTTTATGTAATATTTTATTCCTTCCTTCCTTCCTTCCTTCCTTCCTTCCTTCCTTCTTTCCTTCCTTCCTTCGTTTCTTGCTTGCTCTGGAGGGAGTGCATTTTATATCAAGACTGTTTTGTCTGTGATAGTTTCAGGCCATTTCAAAAGGTTGGAGGTTGCCCGGTGCTTTCTATGACACTGTCTCTTAAATAGCTACTTTGGGTTGGGGCTGGGGGGGGGGGCTT